TATATATATATATATATATATTTTTTACGCATTGCATCGATACTTTGAATTTCCAGTTGATTGAGCTATTGTTACACTCCTAATAAATGGAGCAATAGAAATCTCTCAGGTTTCATAAAAACATTTTCATTTGCATTTTAAAGATGAACAAAAATGGGTTTGGAACAAGAAGTAAATGATGACAGAATTTTCACTTTTGGGTGAACTATCCGTTTGAATGTACTCTACCTGTAATGCCGCCTGACACTCATCCACCAGGCCCTGCACCAGGTAATACTTTGCCTCTGCCAGTAATTCCTCCGTCTCCCTCCGACTCTCAGGTAACGGGACGACTCCGTCTCTCAGGTAGTTCAGAATGGTCCCAAAGTGCTTCCCGCACCTGTCAATCAGAATCCAGCCTGGAGAAAGATCAGAGGTGAAAAGTCTGACTTGGGCACTGCAGAAGCACACATTTGTATCGATATGGTTCATAATATTACGTGAATGCTTCTTCAGTAGTATTACAGTACATCTACCTTCACTATCTGTAAGGACCTCCATACGGCCACTAAACATGGCCTTCAGCATAGTGTCCTGCTTGGTCAGGGTCTGCATGGTGGTGTAGTACAGCGCTCCCCCGACATTCAGCTTCACATATTTGGAACTGGGACTGGACCCCTTGAAGGAGGTGGTCCGTGTTGTAGCTGCCGGCACAGCCGAGCTCACCACACTTTCTCCTGACATCTCTTCCTGAAAATCACACATAGTGACATAAGAGGTTTGAAATCGCAGGACACTCAAAATATATATTTAGGTTCTCTTAGGGGATTAACAGTGTATGTATGCATCTATACTGCAAATATACACACACACCACCCTATATTTTTTTGTATTATGAAATGTGTATGAACACAGTGAGGGTAAATGGTAAATATCTTTAGATAATCAATTAAAAAAAAAAGTTGGTTCTAAATATCAAAGATTAAAAAAAGTTATGCAAGTTTTCAAGAGTTTCAGGAGGTGGGGCGGTGCATTTCACTTAGTCCTAACATTACCGGAAGTCTCTTAAATTCTCTCAAATGCAACACATTGACAAATTGATAGATAGTAAAACATGAAATCATGATAACTCATCTCTCATTGAATCAGAACCCGGTTCACACAGGATAACGAGACCGTTTTCATGACGTCACACCAAAGCCTGCTAGGATGTTTTTTACTCAAAGCCAATAGATTGGACTCATTGTATTCCCGTATATTTGTTTTATGTATAGACATGATTCGTAACTGAATACGAAGAAAATAAATTATTTAATTTAAAGTTACTCATAAGAAACGTATAACTACATGAGCTAAAGCGCTAAACTAGCACAGCATCTTGTTCTCTCAATTCCTTTAAGGAAATAAACAAGAACTTACAAAAAAAAAAGCTAAGCACACGCCGCGATAAATACTACTTAAAATATACACCAACAGAAGCGTATAAATTAGACGAGATAACAGACAAATGTCATTATTTACCATAGAAATCCCCCGATTCTGTCGGGCCTCTTGGAACGGGTATGGAATTAGATCACTTCCGGTCGCAACCCGGACTCGCGCGGATGATGGGAAGTAACTCCACCTGTCCAATGTCCTGTCATTTCATTTGCACACTTCCTGTGATTGTAACTATACGCGTATTTTTTTGAGTGCTGGGGGTACTATATTTAGCAAAACTGATTCATACAACGAACTTGGTTTCTGATTCAGTTTCCAATATTAGTGCAACACTGTGATGTAGTGTTGACATCAGGTCACAGGCACTTTTTAGCAGAGGCGGACAGTAACTAAGTACATTTACTCGAGTATTGTACTTAAGTACACCTTTTGAGTATCTGTACTTTACTTGAGTATTATTTTTTTCTGGGAACTTATGACTTTAGCTTCACTACATTTGAAAGACAAATGTACTTTTCACTCCACTACAGTTCTATCAAGATCCTGGCAGTAGAAAGTCGTTACTATGTAGCAGCTTTGAAAGTCAGTGGGTGATTTGTTTTCTTCTCTAAAATGTGTGTTTATCAGTAATCACTCTTGTAGGGCTACATGAAGTGATTTCTCAGCATTTTTTGAACACTGACCAGTTGCAAATCTGATATTTATTTACAACAATTCAATAATAAGAAGTTAATATTGTGGTATATATATATTAGACACAATATTGTCTGATTTAGCTCAATTGTGTAAGTGAAAATATTACCTATAAAGCCACACAGAAGAACTGTTGTGCATCTCCTAATAAAACAAGTACTGCGAGAGCGATTAGACAGCATTTAAAATGTTTGTTTTGATGTCAAATAAGTCTTGCTGTTTTGCTTTTTTGTTAAAGCAGTGTTGCTGTTGTAAAGTTGTACAGCTACAGTTGTGCTGCTGGGTTTTAAAGCAGGTTTGATTTTGTTTCTTCCTTATCACTCAGTATTTACAGGATTTCACTGTCCACTCTGTTCAAATGTGGATGAATTGTTACACATAGATGTGTGCACACACTGTCAGAGCTGCTTTTGTGGGGGTGGGTAGGGGTGTTAAATATATATATATATATTTTTAGTTTTTTTCCCCATAGGTTTTAACATTCTAAAAGCTCTTTATTAATAAATTACATTTACATTTACATTTCATTTAGTCATTTAGCAGACGCTTTTATCCAACTTTCACTCAAGTAATGGAGTTGAGTACTTTGTCCGCCTCTGCTTTTTAGATACCGTAAATGAAATGTTTTTGGATACATATGTTTAGGTTATACTGTCTCTCCAAATATCAAAAATACATATCACAAAAAAAAAAAAACATATCACAATTAAAAACAACAAAATAACTTGGTAGTAATTTTGCAAATCAATTAACAAATAATTAAAAATGTTGACATTTTGTTGGTTTGTTTTTTTTATTGTTGGTGAATTGCATAGTTGTGTTTAAATATTCAATATATGTACATCAACAGAAGACGAGCTGTATCACAAGTAGTTCCGCTAAGTACAAAATTCCAGCTCTCTGCTGTCCCAAACCTCAAAGTAACCAGTTTAAAATAGTTAGGTCTAATACCGCTTCAAAAATGAAACGATATCAATGTACTACGACAAATAAAAAATACGAGCCAAATTGTTCCTCCGGAAGGATTAGGAGGTTACACCGTTAATGGATTAGAGCTTGCCGTGTCTGGGTCGCTCTTTTGTTTACATCAATTTTCCATTTAATCTCAAACGCTCAGGTAAATGAAATCTTTGTGGATACCCTAAAGACTTTCTTTGCTTTTCATTTGAAACACAGTTATCAAGTGACAACGTTTCTCAAGCGTTGCCTGCTCGCTGAATGCTTCAACTGTGTTAGTATTTGCTAGCAGGATAGCTAGTGTGAATGTTATTGTCTCTGTAGAATTCACTGATTTTAGTTTAGTTTAAGTTTTCTACTAATTTAAACCAGATGTTTAATGTTAATTGTGTTACCGTAGAGTGCTCATCCTGTTGTGTAATCTAAGTGTCACCTCTATATTTAGAGTAAATGATAAAGACTGCTCTGTTTTGGTCTGATAATGCTGTCAGATACCGCTTGATTTCACTTTCTGCTTCGTGATCTGTTGGTGTGTCTAAAACGGTCTTGTATTTTTAAAAGGCAAAGTAAAATATTCCTTTTATTTATAGCATATCATCTTCAGTAACTTTAATGCAACAACTCATGTGCCTAAATCAATGGATCATTTGTGCTGTCTTAAAGAAGTGCTATTAATGTTCTAACATAAATAAAATGTCTAAAGGAAAACCACTCTTCTGTTTGTAGAGTCCAATGGAACTCCAGAACAACAAGTGTGAATATGTGATTGTATTCATGTGACCTGTGGAAGCAGAAGTATTACCAGTCACTACATCAGGGCAAGGTAATTTGCGTGTGTGTGTGTGTTTATGTAAGATAGATTTGAAATTGTAAATGAGAGACATTCATTTTCTTAATTTATTTACCATGGTTTGAAAATAATTTTGAATCTAATTTCCTGTACTTGCATGCATAGCCCCTGACGTTGTGTTTGCTCTCAGGTGTGATGTAGATTTTTGTTCCTGGCTATTACATTTTTTATAATGTTTAACCCACAGTTTGGAGTGAAAACATGTTCACTGCTACCCAAATGTCCAAATCCCAGTTCCTGGATAAATCCAGGATAGCACGGGAGGAAAGGAAAGGTCATAAGGAGAAAGAGAGAGCTGCCACACAAATCCAGGCTCTAGTCAGAAGATTCCTCTGCCGTTGCAGACTGCAAAGAGAAATCAGGTTAGGGCTGAAATGAGCCGTTCTTTACAATAGTCAAACCATTCTAGATTGTCATAGGTCTTTGCTGACTCTGTTGGCCAGAGATTAAAAAAAGTAAAAATTAGGAATGAAACAACACAGGAAAATTAAGGGTGCATTCTTTTAGTGCTAAAATACTTGCTGTTATTTGCACATTGATATTTTCAATAATGTTAACACTATTTCAAAAAATAGCTGTTTGTTGTGGGAGAATTTTATTCAGATTGTTTCTTCAAAGGACAACTGATATTAGAACCATGTCTGAATTGGGACTTGTTTACCCTGTTGTGCTCTACAGTGTAATTTCTGTATTTTTTTCTTTTCTGTTTTGATTTATACATGCAGTGTTTTATGTATTTATTGTTTGTACTGGTATGTTATATTTAAGGAAAACAATAAAAAACTTAACTGCAAAAAAAAAAAGCTGTTTGTTTGAGCGAGTGTTAATTTAGTATTGTTATTATACTATTATAGCGTTTATTAATATTTTGAATTTGAATTGGATTTTTTTTTTCAGTTTTAATTTGAGATTATTTGTTAATTTAGCTATGTGCTTTTGTCATTTTTATTAGTTTTTCCTTTTAAAATATTTCTAAATAGTTGTAATTTGATTTCAGTTTTAGATTTAATTTATTGGCATTCACAGTAGCTAATATTTGAAAATGTATTCTTAGTGTAGTGTGTACTCTGACACAGATTTACAACTTTTTTTATTTTCTGTTTCAGGAAAGAGGTTGATGACTTCATCGCAGCCAGCGATGCAGGTTCAGCGAAAAGAAATGCATTATCCATCTTCAAAATCGCTAGGAAATTGTTATTTATATTGAGCAAGGATGATAAATTGGTGAGCATCACATAAAATATTACGATTTTTATAGGATTTGTTTATTAGGTGAACAGTTACACTTTTTGTGAATGTTGTGTATTATTATTGATGGCATTGTTTTTTTTTCTCTCTCTCTTACACAGAGGTTTGAGAAGCTGTGTCGAATCATAGTAAGTAGCATGGATGTCGAGAATGAACCTAAAGTAAGTTTTTAACCAAGCAATGACTGAAATATACTTTATCATATCTTATGTTAGAATAGTTCTGCAAGTTTGCATTGTTGTGACAAGCTATTATTTTTCTAGGTATGGTATGTATCCCTGGCCCTTTCAAAAGATCTCACCATCCCCTGGCTGAAACAGATTAAAGACGTGCTCTGGGTCTCTTGTGAATTTCTGAAGAAACTGAAGGTATTTCTTTGTGATAATAATGGTTAATACACATCTGATCTGTTTGTTGAATATCTTTTGAATTATTTTGTGCCATACTGGCACATTCTTTTAGTTCTGAGTCTTTCAGTTATCTGTTCATACAAGTCAGGAAGTGCTTCTTGAAGAATGCTTATTTCCTGCTTTCCGTTTCTCCCTCGCAGCCTGACATACTGCAAGATAATAAATTGGTGACGCTGTACCTGACAATGCTGATAACCTTCACTGACACATCGACATGGAAAATCATCCGAGGGAAGGGTTTGTGTCACATGTAATCAGAGCTGTTGAGATGATTTGCAAGCTAAAATACATAGAACCCTACTTGAATTTCCTCTCTTTTTTTCTTAAGGAGAGGCCCTCAAGCCTGCTTTAAACAGAATTTGTGAGAACATCATGGGACATCTTAATCAGAAGGGCTTCTACTCTGTTCTTCAGGTACTACTCACCCAAACAGCCAATCAGAATTTTGTCACAGGCTGGTAGTATATAATTTGAATTAATTTTAGTATGTGGTTAACGCTGTGACTTCTTTCAAAAACATTTTTAAAAAGTGTTTATTATTTGATGTGAAAAGCTCCCAGATGAATTCGAAGGCATAAATTGTACTAAAATAAAGTGTTAGTAAAATAAATGATTTAGTAACACTTTATTTTAGTGCAATTTATAAAATAAAGTGTTAGTAAAACATTTCTTACTATTGTGCTCAAGAAACATTTCTTACTATTACCAGTGTTGGAAAAAGTTGCTTCTTAACATTTTTGTGTAAATAGTGGTACAGTTTTTTTTCATGATTGTAAGTTCAAAAGAACAGCATTAATATGAAATAAAAATAATTTTTTAACAATGTATAATTTTTTTTGTCACTTTTGATTAATTTCTTTAAAAAAAAAAAAACTTTTTTAATCCAACATATTAGACAGTATATGTAATTATTTTAAACAACTATTCAGTAAATCATGTTATATGATTACAATTATTAACAGATTGAATGCTCTAGTTTGAACCAATCTAGCCTGAACTTAGAGTTTGAGCTTTAAACATTTTACATAATAAGCAATTTTGCTGTTTGCAGATTCTACTTACAAATGGACTGGCAAGATCCAGACCTTCCCTTTCCAAAGGAACACTCACAGCCATTTTTACGCTGTCACTCAGGTCGGTTGCCATGAGAACTGGCTTTGCTCTTTGAGACATCTCACAGTCTGATTACATCAGGAGCTCTATTTCTGTGAAGTGACCGATAATGTGATGTGTTTTTGGCCTGTTGGTGTGTTTCAGGCCTGTTATCGCTGCACATTTTTCAGACAACCTGCTGAGGTCTTTCCTTCTCCATGTCATGTCTGTTCCAGCATTCATCTCGCACCTCAACACGCTCACACCAGATGTAAGAAACAAACACATCTGGAAGGATAATAACACCTAATTTGCACACATAATATTAGTTCACCAGTCTGAATTTGTGCTCTTTGCAGTGTATGGTCACCATCCAGACCCATGACCTTTTCCGCAAGTTTGTCTTGTTTTTAAGTCGAGAGGAGCAATGTTTGGATATCTGTGTTTGTCTGGAGGGAAGCCACACTCTGTGCTTACTGGGTAAGCATGTGTGCTTGCTTTATACACACACTTCTTGGATTTTCATTCTTAGTTTATAATTCCTAGATCATTTATCTCATTGTCTCTCTATGTTTTGTCTCCAGGTAACCTCATTCAGCTGGGATACTTTAATGTAAAAGTTCTAGAGCAGGAAGCTGGTCACTTTGTAAAGGATCTGACAGATATGTTGTCATACTGTCAGAGATATGTGTTTCAGAAGAAATCCAATCTCACACATTGGCACCCAGTGTTGGGCTGGTTCTCCCAGACTGTTGACTATGGGTATGTCAGTGTTATATTGACAAAATACAGCAATTGATTATACTTTCTTTGTTGTGCCATCCTATTAAGCATTCTTTCTCTTTCACTCTCTTGTTTTTGTCTTTCTTTGCGGTCTTTCCAGGCTTAATGAATCTATGCCGTTGGTAACAAAGCAGTTACAGTGTCTGTGGGGTGTTCCAGTGATCTGCACTCTCTTCTGTGATGTTCTCAGCAAAAAGCTAGAAACTCAAGATCCCACTCCACCTCCCCCTCCTCAGCCAAGCTCATTACAGAATAATCTGCCTGTCAAAAGTGAGAAACACCTATTTTTACACTATAAAGTTCCTAAACATTTCTATTTTTAGTTGTAGTATTTTTTCTGTCCTATTTATGACCATTTTTTAAACTAACACTTAAATATCAAGTTGCCTCAAGCAGTTGTGCTCAACCACACGAGCCAAGACCCACTAGGGGGCCTCAGCACACTTCCAAGGGCTCACAAAATGGCTTAAAATGGTTAAATAAGTCAAAAAAAGATTTAAAATATGCAAAAATAGCTTAAAAGCAATCATTTTTTTCATATTTTAATTACTTGCATTAAAAACTAATCATTTACTCAAAAAAAAAATTACATTTTATTTTAGAATTTTCAATGAATAAATTAATGCAAATTCTGTCAAGCTCTATAATATTTTGTTGGAATTGCTGTTTGAAAAAAACAAAAAAACAAAACCTGTAACCACTAACTAAAAAAAAAAAGTGTTGCCCCCCTTCCTGATTTCTTATTTTTTTGCATGTTTGTCACACTTTAATGTTTCAGATCATCAAACAAATTTTAATATTACACAAAGATAATGCAAGTAAATACAAAATGCAGTTCGTATTTTGATAATAAAAAATGTAAACCATGAAGAACATTCAGTTATTGTGATTATGGAAATTAATTATTTACAATTATTTTATTCATATATTTTAATATATTGTCTATCCTGGTTTCTGTACACAAAAGCAGTAGTATCAGAAATATCTTTGAGGGGCCTTCAAATATTGTCTTTTAAAATCAGGGGCCTTGGAGTCAAAAAGATTGGCCTAGAGAATGCCACACTGCTGTCTCTGAGCCTGTTTTAAATGCTCTTTCACTGGTTAAACCAAGGATACAAAGTAAACGGCAGTAAAACAGTACAGTGTTGCAAGTCATCAGGTCTCTATTCATCCTATTTTCACTGAGGAACCCTTGTTAAACTCTCTGCACGCTTAGATCTGTTCAAGCGAGCGTTCCAGAAGTCTGCATCTGTGCGGAACATCCTGAAACCGGTCGGAGGGAAGCGTGTGGACTCAGCTGAAGTCCAGAAGGTGTGCAGTATTTGTGTGCTGTATCAGACAGCCCTCACCACGCTCACGCAGATCCGCCTGCAGATTCTCACAGGTACATGCTTTTTATAAGAAACCACTTATGAAGTCTATGCTGTACACACCTATGAATGCACATTCACACAAGCAAACACTTCAGCAATGTTTTATCCTGATCCTGGACAAAAGCTTTATACTTGTATAAGATGCTTTTCCAGAATATTAGTTGTTTGTAGATTAGGTCCAAAATCACTCTAGTACTGTCCAGTGAAACAAAAACCAAAAATTCTTGGTCATTTTGTATGTCATAATAAATTTGTTTAATATTCTTGTTAATCTTGATTTTATGGTTTCAAATTAAACTCTGGTTCCAGGACTGACATATCTGGATGAGCTGCTGCCTAAGCTGTGGGCATTTATCTGTGAGCTTGGCCCTCAGGGGGGACTCCGACTCTTCCTTGAGTGTCTTAACAATGACACCGAAGAGTCCAAACAGCTTCTGGCCATGCTGATGCTCTTCTGTGACTGCTCCAGACATCTCATTACGTAAGTGCTGTATAATCCAAGGGTGACAATGCTTCTATTTTGCAATTATTTATTTATATGTTTACTTATGTATTACATTTCACTACAAAATAATTTATCAGCATAATAGTGTGAGTGAAAATATGTTTTATAAATGAAAGTAGTATATTACAAATGTCTGAGATGCAGTGAATTTGCATGTTTGTTTGTTTTTTTTGTGATTTCTATTGCAGGATTCTGGATGACATAGAGGTGTATGAGGAACAGATTTCTTTTAAAATGGAAGAGCTTGTTACCATCTCCTCGTTCCTCAACACATTTGTTTACAAGATGATGTGGGATGGTATTTTAGGTGAGCAGGTATTATTTAGCCCTTTTGTTTGTTTTTGCAACAAGGGGCTTTTTTGTGTGTATGTATTCTTTTCTCCAGCCTTGTTCTCTTGTTGCAGCTTCATTTAGATAAACCACAGTTGTTTTGAACCATCTGTGTATGGAGGCAGTGATAATGTGCTTTCTTTGTGTGGTCATTAATTTGTTTCAGAGAATGCCAAAGGAGAGAAGCTGGACTTATTCCACAGTGTTCACGGCTGGCTGATGGTTCTGTATGAGCGGGACTGTCGCAGGAGATTCACGCCTGAAGATCACTGGCTCCGCAAGTGTGTCAACCTCACACACACATACATATATATATATATATATATATATGTTTGAGCCAAATTACTTCCTGGTTTTACTTTATAGTTGGAGCTAGGTCCATTCAAACGCAAATTACTGATCGTTATTCTCATATAGGGGAAAGATAAATGCCCCGAGTTGCAAAATAAGCCTCATTTGTTTTCTTTTCTCTGTATGTCTAATACAGGGACCTGAAGCCCAGCCTGTTGTTTCAAGAGCTGGAGAAAGGCAAAAAAAGAGCACAGCTGCTACTTCAGTACATTCCTCATGTCATTCCACACAAAAATGTGAGAATCAGACTCAAAACAAGAGATTATTAATGCTCATGGGTCATAAGAGGTCATGAATGCTTCAATAGATTGGATCATCCAAAGATTTCCCTTTCATGAGATAAAGAATCCAATTTAGATCAAAATCATCTTCATTTTATCTTATAACACAAAATGATTTGTTTTTGTTACAGAGGGTGCTGCTGTTCCGGAACATTGTGACAAAAGAGAAGGAGACTCTAGGATTGGTGGAAACAAGCTCTGCCTCTCCCCATGTGACTCATATAACCATTCGCCGCTCACGCATGTTGGAGGTAATGGCTGTTTAGCCATTCTCAAATACTGATATACACAATGAACATAAACAATGCATATTATGCCTATTAGCATTTGTAGCTCAGCATGGTGCTACAAAGTCATGAACTAATAAAAAGTATACGTTGAATGCAGTGTAAGTTGCTTTGGATAATAGTGTCTTCCAAAAGCATAAATGTAAACTTAGAATAATAATAATGATCTCTCTTTTCCATACTCTTCATAGGATGGTTATGATCAACTGCGGCGTCTACCTGTCAACTCCATTAAGGGGGTGATCCGAGTGAAGTTTGTGAATGATTTAGGTGTGGATGAGGCTGGAATTGACCAGGATGGTGTGTTTAAAGAGTTCTTAGAAGAGATCATCAAGAAGGTTTTCAACCCAGCACTCAATCTGTTTAAGGTATGCACTGCTCTCTCTAAAGGCTAAAGGCTGCAGTTCACCCAAACAATCATAAGACCTATCTTACTTTGCCAATAAAATTAAACAATCTCTTTCAGACCACCAGTGGCAATGAGAGATTATATCCCTCCCCAACCTCCAGCATCCATGAGAACCACCTTCAGCTGTTTGAATTTGTTGGAAAGATGCTTGGAAAGGCCATGTATGAAGGCATAGTGGTGGATGTGCCGTTTGCCTCTTTTTTCCTCAGTCAAGTTCTAGGTCACCATCACAGCACCTTCTACAGCTCCATAGATGAGCTTCCCTCTCTTGACTCAGAGTTCTACAAAAACCTCACCTCCATTAAGGTCAGTGCCAATGTGACTATTACAACATTTGTGCTTTGAGTTTGGAAGGATTTGAACTATTATGTTATACCCAAATTCGCTCTGGTGATGTCTTATCTCCTGTTTCATCCACCAAACACATTTTGGTCTGTTGTGAACAGCTGCACACATACAGCAGGGTCACCAAATCCAGCAGGGCAACATTAGATGTTAATGAAATCTGCTATACTCATCTATTTCATACAGAATAGCTTTAATGTTACCTAAATTCACTCTAGTGATGTCTAAACATTTTTATTTTATATCCTAAAAAGTGTAATGCTCTGATGTGAACAGCTGCATAAATACACCAGGGTCACCAAATATGACAACATAGCATTAGGAGTTACTAAAATCTGTTACCCCTCTCTATTTCACACAGAATGCCTTTAATGTTATTTAAATTCACTTTGGTGATGTCTAATCTCCTTCGTTTTATGCCCCCAAACACATTTTGGTCAAATGTGAAAAGCTGCACACAAACAGCAGGGTCAACAAATCTTGACAAAGAAGCATTTGACATTACCGAAATCTGTTAATCCATTTTATTTTACACGCAATGGCTTTAATATTACCAAAATTTACTCTGGTGATGTCTGATCTTCTCCGTTTCATACCACAAAAAGCATTTTGGTCTGGCATGAACAGTTGCAGATATACAGCATAGTAACCAAATCCAACAAGGCAGTATTAGAAGTTACTAAAATTCGTTACACCTCTCTGTTTCATGCAAAATTACTTTAATTTAAAAAAATTAAATAAAAAAACTCAAATTTACTAGTGATGTCAAATCTTCTGGTTTCATACCCCAAAAAACATTTTGGTCTGATCACCAAATCTGGCAGTGCAGCATTAGAGGCTACCGTTTCATTAATAAAATGTGTGTTAGATATCTAATTAATGAAATGAAAATAATGTAAAGATTTAAGGGTGAAATTATTTGAAATTTTAATATAAAGGTACATTCCTGTTGCACTCTCTTACTATATGGATGTGAATTACTGTATGTTTTCTTAATCCTGACCTTTTCATATTCAGAATTAGTTTCATATTCGTTTTGATCTTATAGTAATCATGACCACTTATTGATTTGATTTTTCAGCGTTATGATGGGGACGTCAGTGATCTGGGTCTGTCTTTGTCCTATGATGAAGATGTGATGGGGCAGGTAGGCAACCTTTGTTTCAGCTGAATCAATTTTGTGGGTTCTTGTGACACTATCGGCTTTCCTCATTCTCTGATATGCTCACTCCTTTCCTTTCTTTGTCTCTTCACAGTTAGTCTGCCATGAGCTAATTCCTGGTGGAAAGACCATGCCTGTCACTAATGAAAACAAGTGAGTCCATTTTGTCTCTTCGGTCAAGTGTAAATAAAATGTTCATGGCAGTGCTGCTTCCTATTCACATTTATTAAAAATAAGAAGAAATGACCCGATGAAAAAACTAATTAGTATTGGAAGCAGAGCAGTTTAAAAGGCAATTAGGGATTTGCAACCACAGACAAATACTTGACAATTTAAACCTATTGTTCTCTCACAATTGAATTCTCTTTTATCAGCAAGCTTAGAATAGAACACAATAGAAGAATGTTTTTCACTTCATGTTTTGTCATTAACCTTTAAGAACAAAAAAGTCGAAATGCGCTGTTTATTTATTTTTTTGTAACTGTCCTCCAGGATCAGCTACATTCACCTGATGGCCCATTTCCGCATGCACACCCAGATCAAGGAGCAGACTGCCGCATTCATCAGGGGCTTCCGCAGCATCATCAACCCAGAGTGGCTCCACATGTTCTCCACCCCTGAGGTCCAGAGGCTTATCTCTGGAGACAATGCTGAGATAGACCTGGATGATCTCAAGTGAGTCTGCAGATCTTAGTACTGGCCTTGAAGGGTTTTACCTATCAGTTTGTTGCAGTGCAACAAACCTACATTGCTCTCTATATAGTCAACAAGGCTGGAAGCATCTTGAATGCATCACACCTTCAGTGAACAGAAATTGATTGCCTATATTGCTAGGCAATGAAATAGGTCTGAAATTGGGCAGTCACAATATCACATTTTCACTACGCAATTATTGCAGCCAGAATTCACAACAACCTCATGAGATATCTATTGAAATTTTGAAAAATAAATAAATAATGCTCTGTCAAATTCATCTTTAACTTTGCTTATTTGATGTTCTCCCTTTTTTAGCTAATTAATTACATGTGTAGGGAGGTGGAGAGAGAGTTTGTAACAATAACTGTACAAAAGCATACCAAAAGAACTTCCTGAAGACTAGGGTGTCTAACACAAAAATAGCACCTTTGAATGTGCAATACTGCCACCTACTATGTTGGTGTGTCAGCCAGATAGGTGCTCAATTAATTAAGCGTTAGCGTTAGTTCTGGCAGGTCACGTGAGTCAAGCTTGCATCAGCTGATTCTCAGTTGATCACATCTACCTATAGGAATACGACACCTATCGCGGCATTCCTTTATAAGGTCTATTCAGTATTATTCAGCAGCTTTTCAGCTTGCTCGGGAGCAAATTACCCTCCTCCATCCCCAGCTCCTCCTTTCGCCACAGTCAGGACTTGGCTTTCTGATATTCCTTGCTAATCAGACTCCTTTATCTTGAATAAAGTGTTACACTTAAATATCATTAAGTATATTAATTATATCTGCCTTGTTCTGTTCTGTTAACCCTAGGGGGGTTAATATTGCTGCTCTACCTGCTCATTCATGACAGGCTGCATGGATGGGCAGGGAGTTTTTTGCCCAGAACAGAACCATACTGCCAAACCAAACTTTATGCTAAGTATCTATCATTTTGATGATAGTGGTCCTGACAGAACTGTATTTATTTTATTGTTATAATATGCGTAGTATTAACATAATGATATCTCTGTTTAATTTCTGTAAATATCATGGTTATTGTCAGTACCGGTATATTGCAACACCCCTAATCTGAAATAAAATGATCCTTTTATTTAAATTATTATATATTTAAATAACCTCTGACGGTTACATCAATGTATAAACATGTATTATTTCTGGTGCCTGGCTTCCAATTTAAATCATCTTTTGTTTCTCACGGATTTGTTAAAATATCTTAAAATGCTTTCACTATTCTAAAATAGCCAATACAAGCACAAAGTTTAACACGTTTCACCACTTTAATAACCATTGTGCAGATCTTTCCCACAGTCAGCACTGAAATTGTAAAGATGTCCACATGTAGCACTAATAATCACATGCTGTGAAGAACTGCCTTAAAAAGGTTACTCAAAATGATGCATGTGATTTTCTGTGTCTTGCAGGAAGCACACTGTGTACTATGGAGGTTTCCATAGCAGCCACAGAGTCATTCTTTGGCTGTGGGACATTCTCTCCAGTGACTTTACCCCTGAGGAGAGAGCCATGTTCTTGAAGGTAATACTTATCAAATCTCAAAAGTTTTAATTGTGTTATTTCAAGGTTTATTGCCATCTATAACGTGGCTGTATTACTCCTCAGTTTGTCACCAGCTGTTCAAGACCTCCTCTGCTTGGTTTTGCCTACCTCAAACCCCCTTTCTCCATCCGTTGTGTGGAAGTGTCAGATGATCAGGTTAGACGTCATCACCCCATCACCTTATTCCATACATTGTTCTGCAAAGATTGTTGTTTAATCTTGCTTTTTTGTGTTTGATTGCATATGCAGGACACAGGCGACACTTTAGGTAGTGTTCTGCGTGGCTTTTTCACCATTCGTAAGAAGGAACCAGGTGGTCGCCTCCCTACATCCTCCACTTGTTTCAACCTGCTCAAGCTGCCCAACTACAGCAAGAAGAGCATCCTCAGAGACAAACTCCGCTACGCAATCAGCATGAACACTGGCTTTGAGCTTTCATAACCCACAAAGCACATTTGTGTGCCGATTTATTCTACCAATACGAACTCATACATTTACAAACGTGAACATCAACAAAACGGGCAGTGGCTGAGCTAAAGTGGCCACACAAAGGTTGAAGTAGGAGACATACTGATTACTTGCTTTGCTGACATTTTGGCCTTCAGTTAAGGCACTTAACCTTGAGTTACTCAAGGAGAATTTTTTCATCAATTTGTTCTTGTCTTGTCCACCAAATGGCAAGTGAATGAAGAAACTTAATAACTTTTAAAATCGTGGAACTGAGCCAATCGTGCCCAGTCAAACTTAGAGACTCTGAGGAGCTCAACCATAGAAGTATATTAAAAAGTTTCAACATTACCTATAGAATTGTTTTTGAACTACTTAAAGATCCATATTTATGGTCATGTTTTTCATTGTCAGCATTTGAAGCCAAAATAGCTCCAAACGCCTTATACAATCAGTTTCAAACCAGCTCAATTTAATGTTGTCAAGTCAGGATCCTTCTGACCCCTACTTCATGGACACCCGTGAATCGGCTGAGAAGCTTGGCTCCATTTGTGCATCCAGAATAACTTGTTATAGGCTTGTTCTTTATTGGCTTCAAAGCACTGTGTCCATTTGTTGACAAACACTCCAAACCTCCTCTTAAAGTTACAGCAGATACAGTGGTGGATGTTCAGATGTAAGATCTGCAGAAACAGTTCAGCGTTGTGTCTCAGGTCTCTATGTCTCACTCCCACAAGAAGGGAACAGGAAAGCAATACTAATGCAATGCAAGCCATGCAACTCAAGACACAAATGAGGCTTTTGCCTGTTTGTACGGCAAATGCTTTCAAATCCATAGCGCACTAAACTTCTGCTGGACTTGAGGACCGAGCTTTAAGAGGAAACCCAGCACGGTTGATCAACTTTAGCATGGTAGAGCCAGCAGTATTTTAGATGAGAGATGTCCCTGCAGAGATACACCTCTCCTTTCCTGCTTTCTCTTCACTTACACTACAGAGCCCTTTCCAGAATGCATCATCAGCCTAATGTCATGGTGACATTTCTTTTTGCTCATTATATTATACTCATTATTCTGCTCATGCTTTTCAGCCCTAATGCTGTCTTCATGTCAAACTCATCTATTCATTAAGATCAATTCCTTGTCTTGGGTTTCTTTTTTTTAATTGATGAAGGAAGGACAGACTAACCACTAAAAGGTATTTTACTCCATCTTGGAAGTAACCAATCATCACATGACAAACCGCTCTCCCTATAATCTCCCACTACCACTCTGCTCCTCATTGCGGTGTATACTACTGGAATTAAGCCATACAGTAAAGATGAGTAGCTATCAAACCAGCTCTCGTAGGAACTTTTTTCTTAAAGGGAGAGTGTTGCAGTGACTTTCCTGAAAGGTCGGTGGGCTCAATGGAATCTCATGAAATGTTATTCCAAATGGACAAAAAAAAATCTCCCATTGCATGATGTCACTGGATGATTCCATGTCCGTGTCACAGAGGTCATAGTCTGAGGCTGATATTGTGTTTGTTCTTTTTCTTTTGTTATAAAGAAGGTTAGGGTTAATCTGTTTAGAAATTTCTGGGTTGTTTTCCCCCCAAAATTAAAGGAAAAACATTGAGAAAATATGTTTTGCAAAAAGGAAGTGAAGCCTACTTTTAGGTCCATTAAGATTTAAATTGACCATCAAGAAAACATCATGGTAGTATTTATTCATGGATGTTATTTTAAACTAAAATTATTACTATTTTGTTTAATCATTATATCCGGGCAATATTTTGGTATGTGCTGCTTTATTTTTTTATTTTTTTTTTGTATTTTGTTCCTGAATCAAGCTTCATTTTGTTAATGATTCTTTTGATTTTGCGGTGAATTATGACCTAGACATTTCTTCATGAGATTCACTCTTGGTTTCAGGTCTCTAAAAAGCAGAAATCGGCTGTAGTTATTCTGGAATGTTTATTGTATGCAAACCCTATTTCCCTTAGTATGTTATATATGCAAAATTATAGAGTTAAACATTATCTATCAGCCCACCCTCCCCCAGCTCTCCATAAATCAAGGCATGAAAGTATCCTCTAATGAATAGAAGCCTTTGTAGATGTGGAAAACTGGTTTTAAGCTCATGTAACTTTTTTGTATGCATTGCTGTTAATGTTAAGTTATAAATGTATTGTCCTAATGCACAAGGGCTTGGGCTGAGTCAAATAGCAGAGTTTTGTATTTAAATTAACTGGCATTAACATGCTATACCCTTTGGAAGATGTTTAAGTGCTCTGGTTGGTGTTGTGGATGAGGAATCGTTTGGCATAATGCTGTGAATGCAAAAAATATTCACATTATTGAAGAGTCTTTATGGACCGTGTATGGAAGCGACTGAATTTCATGATGTCACAGAATCTTGCTCTCTCTCTGATAGGGATGCAACAACCTTTAAAGTGTCTGGTCTTTATTCTTTTGCCTGATAATGAAGTGTCTTTTGAATTTGGTTGCACTACATGAACTGCAGGTTGTTATATACACAGTATATTACAAAAGCAATGGCATTGTAAAGTTCTCCATGTGTACAGTAATATTTCCTCTGTAAAATGTAAACTTAATTGTCGAACAAACATATAAACATTTGAATATCCAAATGTAAAATCTTTACTTAACAACAATGAATGTGCACTGTCATTTATTATTAGATTATCTAGTGAGACTCTTGTTAGAACGTTGCAACAACAACAGAGCATGATACTGTATTTTGACGATATAAATATTTTTTTGTACCGTCGATGGTATCATCAACTGTTTGGTTACAGGATTGTGTGAGACTGTGGTGGGTGGTCGTCGATCCCTCTAGGGGGGCCCGGGGGCATGCTCCCCCCGTAAGAAAATGTTGTACATTTTAAAGTTAAATTCATAAATCTGGTGCACTTTGAGAGTTCAAAATTAAGAGCTCCAACACCGGTTCAGTGTGTAAACTAAAAGAAAAAAGCTGGTGAATGTACTTGTTCTTGAAATTTTAAGGGGACTCGACCTTCTTTTTAGTTGTGATATAGTGTCTCAGTCTCACGCCAAACAAATTAGAATAAAATAATTTTATATTATCATTCCTATGACAGTAATAGCCATATATTGTAAAATAATTGCACTGGGAAATAAATGAAAATATTTTTTGTTCAGGTATATTATTTTACCTTACTCTACAGTAGGAAAATTGCAATACTTTTGTCCTAATTTCTACACTTGCAAGCAGGGCCTAAAAGTAACTTTCACATCTGCCAGTGGCTGGTGACTTGAGAAAATTTACCGGCCATAAATATTTTTCCTTGCCATGAAACTGTTTTTGCAAAAAACTGGCAGTTGCTACTACTACAACAACTAAACAGATTTAATAATAACAATAATAAAAAAGAACCAACCAAATTAGAACCAACCACTGGATTTTAATCACGATACAAACAAAGATACAAAGATAAAACCTGCATGAAACAAAACAGACAGTCTGAATGAGAAGGCAAATTCACTCTCTGACAGCAGGTGGCGCTTATGGATCAGCAGTGATAAGATCAGTTCCCTCAGAAATACAGTGCTTTCTATATTTATATTTTTCTTCCGAACAGTGAGCTTGCTGTACCTGTACAGTATTTTCTCGGTGCATGTCTGTTAATAGGCCATGCTTGCAAGAGATAAACCCTTGAGCTTTTATTTTGACGGAAACTTCAGTTGAGCTTTTATTTTAGAGGAAAACTCCAGCTTCTGTGAAAACAGGTTTACAAACATTACTAATTTAATGAAATACTGTAAACATTTGCCCATTAAAATGTTGAAAATTATGAAAATTATGCATAACTGGTGGTGGCAGTTGCGTTCCCATACGCGCTAAACTCACAGCACATTCAATAACGGAGTTCACTGCAGTCACTGTGATCTGAGCCGCTCTAGACGCGGAAAACACCGGCTCACGAGATGATCGCGTGCGCTTCACTTTGAAACAAGCAGCGCAAACAGACTTGATAAGTCATATTACGCTTTCGGTTTTAATTCGTTTGACGGATACTTGCCAAAGCAATGGCGTGAAACACAACGTTAAATAACCTTTATGTTATATGAGAAGTATAAATATAGCCTATATCCTCGGTTTATTATGAAACTGTGGCGAGCCGCCACAGTCTAGTTAATGAATGGGACACACTGCAACATTCTTCAAAATATCTCATTTCGTGCTCGACAGAAGAAAGAAACTTATACAGGTTTAAAACAACTTGAGGGTATGTAAACGACAGAATTTTCATGTTGTGTGAACTAACGCTGTAAAGTTAATGCGACAATCACGTTTACAATGGTAAATGTGTTTATATAACATCGCTAAACTCTTTTGCATTATTGTAACTTACTGTGCCTTTCAGACAGTTTCCCCTCAGTCTGTGTGTAGAGCACTTTCAGGGGCTGAAGTCACGCTCACCCATGGTGCACTGCTGGATGTGAGGGGCTGATATTTGAGCTGCTTTTAAAACTGAAGAACCATGAGCTCCCACCAAGCCCTTCTCCAACCAGGTGGTTCAAAGCCCTGTGGAGGTTAGTAAGACTGCATTTTTTTTTTTTTTTTTACGTTTCAAATTAAAAGGATGTTGGTGTTAGTTATATCTTTTTACCCATTAAAAATAAATCCTCAAACCTTGTTTATTATAGGCTATAAAGTGCAGTTATTGGTATAAAATACGCCAATTCCTATAAACACGTTTACATGCTCTGAATTTCTTGGAACTTTATTTCACAATCTCTTTTAAACATAGAACAATGAGTCCCCCCATGTAACAATGTAAAAGCCTTTACTTTTGTGACCTTTCTCACACAGCCTCGCTTTGAAACTGTGATATCAGAACTGATGATAGTCAACTTGACATTGAGGTACTCGATTAAGCCAACTTGACTTAACCTGAAATGGATGGAGCCCCTAATGTATAGAACACAACTGGGTATGAACTGAGAGAAAACACTGAAATAACAACAGTGAAATATAGCCTAATAAAACCTAGCTTAGAATTTGTAGTCTTATGTTTTTGCTTGGATTACTCTATTTACAAAGCAGACGCTTGCCAGAGAAACTTGTTCATTCCCTTAGACAAAGCCTCACATTGTGTTTTCTCTCAGCTAGCCAAAAGTAGCTTATGACGAAGACCATAACCGGTGTTCTCTGTCACAAGATTAGCAAGCTGTTAGTATTTGCCTTTATAAATGTGCCAAGCAGTCAAATGACGAAGACTGTAAAACCTGGTGATGCTTTTTTATGTCATCCATTTCATTCTCCTCAAGCAACAACAGATGTAACAAGGTGATATTGACTCTTGAAAAATACAGTCAGCACAAAAGTGCACATAAAACAAATGTACAAAAAAGATACAAAGCTTTCACTGGGGCTGTTCGCTTAGGTACAAAAGCTAAAAGGGACATCTTAGTACCTTATTTACCCCTAAAGGTACATATAAATACATTAAAAGTACATATTAGTACCAAAAGTATATTAGTACCTTTGAAAGAGTGACAGTTTTGTACCTATCTGGATACTTAACCCTGAACTGAACCTTAAATTCTTATTGTTGGTTGTTTCAAGGTCAACAAGGATATTTATCCAGATTTGTTCGCCTTATGGTAAAATAGTGTTTTACAGTGAATTAAATAGTACAAACACTATGTGCTGAAAAGTATAATCATCATTCAGGATTTCATTGCCAGGGTTGCTGCACTACTACAGTGAGGACACAATTAAAATGCCTTTTTACCCTCCATGTGGGAAAGTCTCTTTAATATAAAAAAACATTTTAAACCTATGTATAAACTTTCATATTGAAACGTGGAATGTTCATTGATTCTGTACTGTATGCAGCTGTCTGCATCCTTCTGAACAACTATACAGAAATGAGTGATAACACTATCTCACACTCTTCTTGGTGTAAACTGCACATTAATGTTTCATACATTTATTAATTTAACATAAGTTTATCCAGTGATTTACAGATGAGAATAACACAGTCATTCATTCAAGAGAGAAAACAACACTAAAGCTACCCATTTTTTTTTTTTAAAGAAATAACATTTTCATTTTATAATTTAAATTTATTCAGCAAGGATGCATTAAACTGACAGTGACAGTAAAGGCATTTGCAATGTTACAAAAGATTTACATTTCAAATAAATGCTGTTGTTTTCTTAACTTTCTGTTCACCAAAATGTATCCACAAAAATATTAAACAGCACATGTATTTATATTGTAAAATCAACAATTTTCAGAATACAGATGGTAATATTACACAATAATTTGACCACAGTAGTTGCTTTATGTAATAAATATGAACAAAAAATAATAAAACGAAATCCTAAAAATCCTCTTTTTTTTTTTTTACTTCACATAACGATAAAATATGGGATCATGAATATAATACAACGTTTCAAGTCTCAATTAGAATATGACTGTTCCCTAAAAGTTTATTGTTCCCTACACAGTCTTCTGAAAAAAAAAAATGTACATTGTACTCTGGGATAAATTGCCTGACCAGTGTTTTTGTATTTAGACATATGAAATGGATTTGGAAGCAAGAGTAACATGGTTCAAATTCTAGATGATATACTGATATACTATTCAGGTCTTTTGTAGATTGATTCTCCCTTGCCCTCTTTCATTGCAGCATATCTAGCCACCGTGAACAAGTAGTCACTCAATCTGTAATCAGTGTTCATTGATAAAACTTATATCAATTAATGAAATAAAATTCTCAAAAAAAATATACTCATTGAACAAAATTCATAGATCCAAAATTATAATTAGTGACTAATAGTTAGAATAGGTTCTTACCTGTTCAGATATTTGGCAACTTCAGGATCTGTCTCACCCGAACGGACAGCAGGGGCAACACTGTAATAGATAATGTAAGACCTATGACCTTTGATACAGCTGTAAGGTAACACAAGTAGAACTGATAAACTTTACTGAATATTGTTGATGTCAGACTGACCAGCGTTCAGCCCGTCGACACACAGCTCTGGCCACATGTAAAGCTGCGCTGCTTTTCCCTCCTGACTGCAAATTGAGTGTGAGATTAAATGGCTTTCCTTCAGTAAAAACTTAAATTGCAGTATTGTAACAACCTAAATCAAATACAATTCTCTATGTACATAATATCAGTATTTCAGGTACTCTGAGGAGATTATGTAACCATATTTATTTCTGGAACATACATACAGGAAGTATGAAGTTGGTGAGTGGAGGCAGCTCCTCTGTGAACAAATCAATCCACCTCTCCAGCTCAATCACAGTCTGAGAGCTGAACATAGTCTTCTCTTTTTGAAACGAGAACATCACATGGTTTGTTTTACTGCTTATCTTTATGATTAAATATTTGAATGCATTTAGATATTAAAAACGTCCTTCTGCTTACTGATGTGACTGTCTCTAGCTGATGACCGGGGAGTGGCAATATTTGACCCTACATCCTGTAGTACACACTGGATCTGTACAGAACAGAGAAGTATATAAGCACTTGAGTCACACAAAATATAAACCATGTGCTATTTACGCGAAACCATTTCAAATCTGAGGTCAAATGACTTCATACATCCACTAAAATCAACTTGATACCAGCTGGTTAAAAATAATTGCAAAATTACTCAAAATTAAAATGTACT